GTATTTGTATGGCCTGCAAATAATTGCTCCGGGTCTGGATGTTTGTCCTTATGCAATTTATGTTTGTAAACTGCCTCCACGATAAATCCTAGTGTGGGGGTAACGTTTATTTAAAAAAAGACTTGAAAAACTTATGTTTCACAAACAATTTCCGGCTTGGTAGGGCTCTATAAAGAGAAAAGTTTTTTCATTGGTCATTGTTACTGTCATTATGTAGACACTAGTTACGATACGTACATATAAAATTTAAATAAGGTGCGTGTGATCACTCTGGGAGCTCGTAGCAAACTGAACGTGCGCCCAACGTGTGGACGCGACGGCCAATACTCTGCCACAACCCTTTGATCTTTTGCAAAAAAACATTGCAATACATACCAACGTAGCTTAAACACCCACTCTACACGATGGCCATCGTTGTGGGCCAAGACATTCGCCAGTGGGTTGGCCAACGTGAAGAGCCGCCGTAACGGTTTTGCAAAAGATCAAAGGATTGTGGCAGAGTATTGGCCGTCGCGTCCACACGTTGGGCGCACGTTCAGTTTGCTACGAGCTCCCAGAGTGATTGCACGCACCTGATTTAAATTTTATATGCACGCATCGTAACTAGTGTCTACATAACGGCAGTAACAATGACCAATGAAAAAACTTTTCGCTTTATAGAGCCCTACCAAGCCGAAAATTGTTTGTAAAACACAAGTCTTTTTAAAAAAAATGTTATTATACACTAGGATTTTCTCCTGTATCGTGGAGGCAGTTTAGAAACATAAATTGCATAAGAACAAACATCCAGACCCGGACAAATTATGTGCAGGCTATACAAATACTTGTTCCGTGCGGGATTCGAACCCGCGGCCCCCAGGGCAGCAACTCATTGCTAAGCCACTACGCCACGGAGCCGTCAAGAAATAAAATTTCTTTTTGATCACCCTTATCTTATACACATTCACGTTGTAGTGATTAATTGTGTATTAATTTATTTATTGATGTATTAATTGATTTATTAAATATCTTAAATTCTATAATATATAATATATATTAAAATCAAATTAAAAAGTAGGATACTAAAATCATGTTTTTACTGTCTTTATTATTCCCTATTAGTTACTTTATTTCGTTAATAATACTGTAATTTTTAGCTATGGAAGAGCGAAGTCACCTGTTACAGGCATTATTTTGCTTACTAGGTGACCTCGATCACTGATCATATAATGTAACTTTAATGTTTAACGAAATAAATTATTTATTATTATTATTAAGTTTTATTTTATAATTATATAATAAGAATAACCCTTTTTAAAAAGGTTTTGTTTAATAAAATTTGGCAACAGTTTCATAGACAGGCTTCGAATATTTTCCAGGCCTTAGTTGTAAAAGTGTTAATTATACCTATGCCTAGGTGTGTTAATATATATAGTTCACTTATCTGTATAACGTTAGTGTATAATAAAGAAATATTAAAAATTTATATTAAAAATATTAAATATAAAAAATAGTGAAAATTAAATAAAAAATATAGTGGTATGCTGTGAATAAATAAACCACAGCAGCCGTTAGCGCATCAATAATCATTTTAATAAATTCGTCCGCACATTGGCCTGAACCGAAGCAAACTGAACGACCGTCCAACGTGTGGACGCGATCACTATTTCTTGGCCAATAACTCTGCCAACACATTAGCCACTGTGTTGGCCAACGTGAAGAGGCGTCATTAGAAAAGCTTATGGTATAGGTATTATATTTACCGTGGGGAGACGGGTTCTGATTATAACGTTAATCCTAAAGTAAAAATTCTATGGAGCTTACACTTGATAAGCATAAATTGAAATGTGAAAAGTACTACATAAAGCCGAGTCATTGTGCTAATGAAAAAATGTTGTAAAGTTCGACGCTTTTTACCCTGCAAGTCATGACATAAATATAGTACTTGCCACAGTAAACAGCATAAGTATAAACTTATACGCTTCATTAGTAATTTTAAGGTTTGATTTATCTTTTTACTTAAGTGTGTTACTTAACGGTCAGCCACCGTAGAGTCTACATCATCTGAGGATGCCTCGTGTACAAAAACACGTGTCGTATTGTCGTCAGTGGTGTGTCTTTCCTAGTGTAGTGGTGTTGGGAGTAATGGTGCTGGGATTAGTGGTGAAGGGGATAGTGCACGCAATTGAGGGAGGGCGGGAGGTGCTCTTCACACTAGGTAAGACACATAATTTTATATTATTTTATAAAGCGGATGTTTGCAAAGTAACTTTTTAAAAGCTTTTAAACAGAATCCATTTATCGTCGCAGGTAACAATGCGGTTCAAAATTCCTTCGTTTTTGTGCCTGTTCAGCAGTGTAAGGCACGTCTCGACGCGTATTGTGTGATCATTGCGTTTTTTTATAGGATAGAGTGACAAACGAGCACACAGTCCACCTGATGGTAAGTGGTTGCTGTGACCCATAGACATCTACATCTATCCTCAATAAAGAATCAAAATGCAGATGCGTCGTCACCCGTGAGGACTATGATGGAATGCCTCTTTTCCAGTAAAACGGGTCTCCGGTTCTCTACACTCACCATACGAAACACAACAGCATTAAGCTGTTATTTTACGCTGGTATTCTGTGAGAGCGTGGTCCTTCCCCGGTCGAGCCGACCCATTCGTGCTACAATTATACCTACTACTAATATAGCAAATAATTAAAAATAATAAACCAATTTTGGCAATATTCTATCCTGAAATGACATCTGTGCTGCATACGGATGCCAGTTCTATTGGTTAGGACGGAATCATTATGCAAGTACACAAGGACGATCGTAGGCGGGTAGTTGCTTATTTTAGTAAGTTGACTGCTGGCGCGGAATCTAAATATCACAGCTATGATCTGGAGACTCACGCGGTAGTAAAATCATTACAACATTTTAGGCAATATTTATTTGACAAATCCTTTAAGATCACAGACTGTAATGCGTTAAAAATGACTCAACTATAGAAGAATCTCCAACCCAGAGTTGCAAGGTGGTGGATGTACATGCAGGACTTCGATTTCTCACTAGAATACCGTAAAGGTCGCCGCTTACCGCTTATGTCGCACGTGGACTATTTGAGTGGGAACCCGGTCAATATTATTAACTTTGTTTAAAAACCACAGGAGACATTATCGTTACTTGAAAAATTAAATAACGGTACATTAGATGTGTGATATAAGATAAAATTTCACGCTTAATAAACGAATTGCACCCTTATAAACCTCACTACGTATGTACATTACAGCCATAATTACAGCTGACTGACCAGCTGTGTCCCCATAGGACGTTGACTGACTATCATAATTATGATTTACATACAAAAAAAACAAAAGTTCATAAAGTTTCAGCCTTAAGAAATTGATTTTATTATGTCGGTGGTAACGACATGTTTGACCGCGCGCCTGAGACACCTGTTCTAATATCCGCTTGACTGACCGTAGCATTTTATTGTGTATTTGTAAACTATGATTATAATCACCGAAAAAAAGCCAGGCTTAATATTTTCTAAATTCTGAGACTTCTTTTGTCTCTGCCTCTCCATCTATTATTCTTAAACGCTTTCAAGCGTAGCACATTCAGTTTGCCGCTGTTTAAATACTATTTTAAATATAATTCAATTTCATTCATACACTAAAAAGTCGTGACTGCTTTTTTAGGAAATATGTGATTTTAATATATTTTTTTTTAATTCTACGCTTGAAAAAACAGTTAAGTGTTTTTAGCCGCGATAAAACCCGTAAAAATTACTTTCATTTGAAGTATAATATTTGATTTTGTAAAACTAAGAAATAATACCGTTAAACACATTTCCTAAGCTAAGAGACAGTTAAGCGTAGGTAATTGTTTTATTCCTTAGCAGCAGTTTTGCCAGGTTATACTTTAATAATATGCTAAAAATCGGTAAACACCTATAATTAATAAAATTAAATCCAAACACAAGCATACCACTGCAAGACTTCAAGATACTGTAAGCTCTTTCTGCGTAGATCGGACCAAAAAAATTAATATTCAAAAACTGAAGGTAGCTGGGCTAACTATGACATCGGGACGTCAAACACCTCAGTCCCGACCATGACGTCGGGAATTAAAAAGTTAAATTAAACGCGATAAAATCCGTAATCCGTTAAATCCGTTAAAAAATTTGTACAACCGACGGCTCCGTGGCACAGTGGCTTAGCAAATGAAATGAAATGATGATTCAGGCGCTGAGAGCCGCGGGTTCGAATCCCGCACGGAACAAGTATTTGTATGGCCTACGAATAATTGTTCCGGGGTCTGGGTGTCTGTCCTTGTGAAATGTATGTATGTAAACTGACCCCACGATACAGGTGAAAATCCTAGTGTGGAGGTAACGTTTTTTTAAAATAAGAAACAAAATGAGAAACAAGACTTCAATATAAATAAACTGAAAAAATCATCAATGTAGTCGAAGTCAATTAAATAAGCGTTATTAAGGATAACTCAAAAACTACCGGTCAGATCTTGATATTTTTTTTTATAGGGATCCACATGAAAGCTGGTTTCAAATTAAAAATCATTAAAGTCGGTTCACCTAGAAAAAAGTTCTGAGGTAACACAAAAAAATAGTCAGTACCTCCTCTTATTTTTGAAGTTGGTTAAAAGTGGTGCGATTTTGTGTATTAAATGTCTGCGTATATGAACTGTTAGTGGAAACGATGTAACAAGTGCTTCGATTGTGGTATATAATTATTAGTTTTTTTCTTATCCACATAAAGGCCTCAAATCAACTGTACACTGACTAAATCTGTCATCAATGACAAAAACTTCTTGTGTGAACGTCAATGTGATGGATCAGCATATTGTGAACAAAATACAAATTAGATTTGGCTGTATAGTATAATGCTTTTGCCTATCTTAGTTAGGAAATCCAAATAATAACTGACAATTGAGCAAGTGACAACTGACAATGACAACTCCAACTGACACTGACATTTAAATTTGATTTTTGGTGTTGATGTTTGATGTTGCAGAAAATCTTTATTTTAATTAAAGCTATGACCTCATTATAAAACAATTTTGAACTACTCCTTAATCCTTATAACAAGACTTAATTAGATGTTACCTATTATATAGTGCTCTGTTTATTTAACTTAAGAAAAATGCAGCAATCACCATTTGAAAATATATTTAATATAATAGGTGGCTTTTCGGAAGGCAACGAAAAGCCCATGAAACATGGTTTTTACAACGCTTTTGCACTTTTTATTTTAGCGATTTGTTGTGTTGCAGTATACGTGCTATTTCTTATACTCGAACCCTTTTTTAAACCGCTTATGTGGGCCTTACTAGTCGGATCTATTCTCCATCCTTTCAAGTACAAATTATCTAGGCAGATAAAGTCATGGTTTGAAAACTTGGAAAAATCAAATACCTCTGTGATATTTGGATTACTGGTAATCCCAGTGGATATTATAAATTTCGCCTCGGACACTGTTGGAAATCAGTTCAAAGAGCATTACAAAGTGAGTAATTTCAGCATACTTTAAAGTTATACATTTCTAATGTTTTAAACAGATATTCTACATGATATTGTTATACTACAAATGAAAAATGTACTATGTCCCCCAGGTCCCAGATACCTGTTTATCTAATTTAATTATAATCTGTTTAGTTGATATGAGATAAGCAGACTTTTCTGCCTAGGAATTTGTCTAGGAAGGTACCACCCTCTTACCTAATACTTGCAGTGTTTCAGTGTGAAGGATATATAGAGAGCCAGTATAATTATTGTCTGTAGCATTCCATGCTACAAACAATAATTATACTGGCTCTATTAGTCCTCAGAGGTGACAAAGCTTCTATAACCTACCATGTTTGAAGTTGGCTGTAAGTTTCCGTAGACTGCAGTAGCCACTTACCATCAGATGGACTGTGAAATTGTTCCACACTACAGTTTTTTAAGAAGAATACCTAATAAATGTTTTCCTCAGACATGAATTAGCAATTTCTTAATTATAGAGTGAACTTTGAAGTCTAGTAACTTATATTACTATTTTGTGGTTGTGCCTAGTACTCACAGAATGTTGTACATATCTATTTTTGATAAAACTACCTATTTTTGTTTTTGTGTACAGTCATTAAATTTTTATAAATGTATTAAGAGGCCAAAATTACTATATCAATTTCTTTAGAATAATTTGTCGCTAAAGCTGCAAAGGGGTGTACCTCAATTTTTAAAAAAATACAGGAGAGCAAGAAAACATTTATTATTCACCGATTTTTTTCATCATAAAATTACTACTACTAATTCTGATGAAAAAGCTAGTAATTGGGGAGAAATAAATATTTTCTTGGTCCTGTAATTTTTTTAAAATTGAGGTTTGCCCCTATGCAGCGTTAACATTACAAACAGGCATGTCAATTTTATTTATTTGTATAGATAATCAAAAAAATAAGAAATAAATAAGATAAACTAATCTAGCTATTTCAAGACATGTGTGATTTTTTATTGTTAAGTATGTGCATCAGATTATAAAAACAGGAATAGCTTTGATGAATAAGGATGTTCACACTTTAAACACTAGGAACAAACATAAACTTGTAAGGCAAGTTACTATACTCCACAGAATCAGTAATTCATTTATGGGGCATTGTATACGTTTTTACAACAAAATCCCAGATCATGCTCGAAGTTTGTCAATAAACAAGTTTCAAAGTTTTATTAAAGAAAAACTGTACGAAAAAAGGTTAGTATAATATCAAGGAATAATATGTATGAAAATAAGCCCTGGGAATGAGGTGATCGCCATCATGCTGGTTATATGAAAATTCATTTAAAAATTGCACAAATAAAATTATTGTAAAGTGAAATATTTATGTTTAAAAAAATCCTGCTAGGTTTCTTGCTGGTTCTTCCCAGAACAGAGGTATTTTCCAAACCAGTGGTAAATGAAAAAATGTCTTTCAATAAGTATTATGCAAAAATGAATATTGAATAAAAAAATCATTTGTAATTTTGAGAAAAACAGGGGATTCAACAAGACTCAGCTCCCCCCCATATAAAAGCACACTAGTATGATTATTGAAATGATTCCTATCAAAGTTCATGATGGACCTGCTGTTGCAGGGAGAATTTACCTTAATCATCACATAATTAATGAGTGTTTTTTTTGTTTTTCAGACTATAATAGGCCTTCTTTCTGCTATATTCATATTCCCCTGGCTGTACAACTCAATCCCAAGAAGTTTATGCTGCATTTTTTGGCAGATAACCAATTTTATTGGTATCTCTACTACACTGCTTATCAATTTATGCAGCTCATATACTGTAAGTTCACATATTTCAGTAACTGTTAGTTAATAACATTAATAAATTTAGGCCTTGTATTAATTTCTAGCATTATTAAATAGACAGAATAGTATTGAGTTACTTTTTGTTAAATAATTATAGTCTGTTCACGAAAATAGTGTCGGTACACCTGGATGGGCAATTATTATTTTGATTTTATTACAGTCAATCGGGGTAACTTTGATTAACAAGGGTAACTTTGACAGTCAAATTGCAGAATACTTTTTTATTTTTTACGTGCACAACATTTAGTGCATAACATTAAATTTATACAATTCGTGTACTTAACAAACTTCATAAACGAACTCTCTGGAAAAAAAAGAATGTGTCTTCCAAAGTTAATGTTAAAAACTTATTTAAAAGTACCGCACGCAACTGTTGTCTTTTTGCGGTGGTAAACTTTTTAAATTTTAAATGTGATTACCAAAAAGTTTAAATAAAGATAGAACTACAATTTTATGGTTTTATTGACTTTTATATGACTCCACTGCATCTGAAATTCGTAAAAAACTTAAAGTTATTACTTACTTACCCTGAAGCTATAAAATGTTTAAAAGATAAGATTTCTGTGATAAATCTCATCTGTGTCAAAGTTATCCATATAGGGGTTATAACTTTGACACACAACAAAATTGCCAGTTATGCAGTATGAAAACAAACCTGAGAGCAAAGATTAAGTAAACTCTTTTGTGTCATATTTAATATAGTAAAAGTTAACTAAAAAATATAGTGATGATCTGTCAAAGTTACCCCGATTGACTGTATATTATTTTTATTGTGTTTGTTAAATAAATATTTATCTATTCTAAGAAAAAAAGAGAATACTAATTTATACTTATGCTTATTATAATAAAATACGAATATAAATAGTAAACACAAGTTAGGTAGCAAAGAACCTTTAATTATGGAGCTTTCTTTTAAAATGGCAAATTCTCTTGCGGATGCACGCCGCACGCGGCGATCTTTGATGTCGCGGTGGCGCCTTTGACAAGATTCGGCACGTGGCAAGGCGGCGCGACACAAAGGCGCCCGTATCTAATGGAGGCCATACACGCTAGATTTTGCATGATGGTTTTAGCCGTGCATGCATAACCGACAGGCAAGCCCTAGCGTGTATGTGATTGCTTTCCTCATAACAGTATCTTATCTTTTTTTTTTTATAGGTGAGGGGGCAAACGAGCATGCGACTCACCTGATGGTAAGTGACTACCGCCGCCCATGAACAACTGCAACACCAGGGGAATCTCTTTTCTTGAAGGTCCCTAAGTCGTATCGGTCCGGAAAAATCGCTGATGGTAATCGATTCCACAAGGAGGTCGTGCGAGGAAGAAAACATCTTCTAAATCGCACAGTGGTGGACCGCCAATCATCCAGATGGTGTGGATGGTATCGGGAGTTCTGCCGCGATGTGCGTTCGTGAAATTTGGCGGCTGGGATTAAACCGAACAATTCCTCAGAGCACTCCCCATGGTAGATGCGAAAGAAAATGTAAAGGGATGCAACATCTCTTCGCAGTGCCAATGAATCGAACCGATCGGAAAGGGCTCGGTCGTCGACGATTCGCGCAGCTCTGCGTTGGATGCGGTCAAGTGGAAGGAGCTGGCACTGGGGAGCCCCTGCCCAGAGATGGGAACAGTATTCCATGTGAGGCCGAACCTGCGCCTTGTAAAGTTGCAGGCGGTGTGCTGGCATGAAATACTGTCCCGCTCTGCTGAGCACGCCAAGCTTTTTAGAGGCCAATTTGGCCTTCTCTTCCAAGTGACCACGAAACTGCACGTCACTCGATATGTCGACTCCAAGGATACCGATACTGGCTGAGGCAAGAAGGGGAGTGCCTTGAAACTGACTGAGGGGATACGACAAAGGGGTTCTTTTTAGCGGTAAACGCGCAAACTTGTGTCTTCTGAGGATTAAACTGGACTAGATTTAGTCGCCCCCAATCCGAGACTTTGCTCAGCAAAGACTCGACTTCAGACACAAGTTTGTTCCGGTACTCAGCGACGTTTTCCCGAGAAATATTGGCACGGCCGGTGTATAGAGCATCACCAGTGCTGTCATCCGCATAGCAATGAATGTTACCAGTTAGCAACATATCATTGATATGCAGAAGAAACAGCGTTGGTGATAGCACACAGCCTTGTGGAATACCAGCGTTAATAGGCTTGTAGTCAGAGCATGCACCGTCTACAACGACCTTGATGCTCCAATCTGCAAGGAAGCTGGTGATCCAATTGCACAATTTCTCGGGAAGCCCATAGGAAGGGAGCTTCGAAAGAAGCGCTTTGTGCCAAACCCGATCGAAGGCCTTCGCAATGTCCAGACTAACGGCCAACGCCTCCCCCTTGGACTCTACTGCCTCCGCCCATCTATGGGTCAGGTAGACCAGAAGATCACCAGCTGATCGACCCCGACGAAAACCGTATTGGCGTTCACTAATCAGCTGGTGATCCTCAAGGTACCGGATGAGCTGGCAGTTAATAATGGATTCCATTATTTTGGAGAACAAGAAGGTGATCGCGATAGGCCTATAGTTGGATGGGTCTGAGCGGTCGCCTTTTTTAGGGATCGGGTGGACAAAAGCTGTCTTCCATGAATTCGGGACTACACCTTGGGAGTAGGAGTACCGGAAAAGACGCGTTAGGACCGGTGCCAACTCCGGAGCACACGTCCTCAGCACAATTGGGGGGATTCCGTCAGGCCCACTCGACTTCTGGATGTCCAGGGAGAGCAGTGCTTTGCGAACCGAGCGCTGTGAGAACAGCACATCCGGCATGGAGCACTCACACCGCGGGATAGTCGGCGGTGTTTTTCCCCCGTCATCAAGAGTCGAGTTGGACGCAAAAAGGGAGCCTAAAAGGTCGGCTTTGTCTTTTGCGTCATGGGCCAGTGAGTCATCCTCCCTGTGCAGAGATGGTAGTGATGGCTTACAGAAATTCCCTTGGACAGCCTTGGCGAGAGACCAGAATGCACGGGTTCCCGAAGGAAGGCGAACTAGTTTCTCGCCAATTCTGCCTATGTGCTCTGACTTTGCCTTGGCAATAACTCTTTTGAAGGACCTGGAGGCGAAGTTATACTTCTTTTTAAGTGTGCTGGTATTTACATCCCGAGTCGCCGAAGCTGCAGCCCAGGCTTGATAACACTCCTGCTTACTGCGTAATGCAGTCTTACAGGAGCGACCAAACCAAGGCTGAGATCTGCCTCCGATGGGTACCACAGATGATGGAATAAATAGTTCCATTCCCTGTAGCACCACATCAGTGACAGAGTCAGCAACAGCGCTGGGATCATCCGGCGAGAAGCAAACCCGCCCCCATGGGTAGGAAGCAAAGAAAGACCGCATTCCGTCCCAATCCGCCGACCTGTAATGCCAAACACGGCGGCAACCTGCAGAACGCAACCGCGAAGGGAGCGTGAGTGGCACCACACTCCGGATCAGACAATGGTCCGAAGAGCCGAGAGGGGCATCGACGGAAACCTGATATCCGTCCGGATGAGAGGTCAGCAGAAGGTCCAACAGGGAAGGTGTATGATCCTCCACATCTGGAATCCGCGTAGGCGAAGTAACCAGTTGTGTTAGACCATATGCCAAGGCAAAGTCATAAACAGATCTCCCCGCATGATCGGTTAGACGTGAACCGAGCCATTCGGCATGGTGGGCGTTAAAATCGCCAAGGATCACGATCTCTGCGGATGGGACCTGTTGTAGCAAGGAATCTGTAGCCATTTGGACGTGGTCGATGAGTCGGTCTGTTTCGGCATTACCGCTATGGGACCTATAGAGGCACCCGTAGACGGGCGGATGGTCGTCGCTGTCTACGCGTAGCCAAAGGATGGACAGGTCCGAACCTTCAAGACTGCCGAGGCGTCGAGAACAGATGTCCTCTCTGACATACACGCAAACTCCAGCCCGAGGCACAAAAGAATGCTCCAATTTGTATCCCGGGTAGGAGAGATACGAAATATCAGCCGGAGAGGAAACCTGCGTCTCGGTCAGAAAGAGCAAGGCCGGCTTCGTCGTCTCGAGATGGTAGTGGACGGCGTTTAGGTTAGAGTGAAGTCCCCTGATGTTGCAGAAATTCACGGATAGCGTGGCAGGGGTCGCCTTGGTGTTCTTGCTCAGTTTGACCCTAGCAGTTATGCTTTTGAGCGGAATTTTGCCCCTCCCCCCCCGCCAGAATACGCGGGGCAGCCTGAGCACCCACGCTCAGGATCGGAATAACATGGTCGTGGATGCTCAGCGAGGGATTCTCCAGGGGTACTGGTACCCTCCTGGGGTAGTTCATCGTGTAATTCCGCTACCATGTTGATGGGGGGGGGGGGGGGGGGGATTGGGCCTCCGGCCACCTGCACTCACCAGACGAAACGCAGAAGCAGAGCTTCTACTTCACGCCGGTATTCTGTGAGGTCGTGGTACCAACCCGGCTCGAGCCGGCCCATACATGCAACAGCAAAAACTGCTGCGTGGCTCTACCACTGTTAATATTGTCTTTATATAACGGAGATAAATTGTCTTTGTATTAACGGAGTAATTAATGATAATAGTTTCAAATAAATTTTTTCATCCATTCGTAAATAATTTTTGTAATCTGTAGGTGTAAATCTCAATTCATTTATCAAATTTACGTGGGAGAATTGCTTTCTTTTCAATAACCAGCGTTTAGACCATTCAGTGCAATCTCTTTTTCTTTTTCTGTTCTGCAGAACAAGTGTTAGGCCAAGTACAGCTACCACATCGACGTCGTCCATTGTAGTTTGGTATTATTGGCGTCCTACACACACCGTCACGTAGCTCAACTGAGAGTTCATGGCAAGACGGTGCATGCAAAACCTAACGTGTATGTGTAGTATGAAACTCGGTTATGCTTGTCGGTTTTGCATGCAAAGTTATAACCATCATGCAAACCCTAACGTGTGTGGCCGCCATAAGCGAACAGACTGTAACTGTTTATGTAACTTAAAAATTTACAGAACTCAATTCATAACTTGGATATTTGCTATATTACATGTGGTGAGGCTATAGCAACATATTAGAAGTTTGATTTAACTGAACTAAAACTTCAAATTCCACCTTCTTTTTTACAGACATTGACATTTGCATTAGCATATATCATAAGTGTTTATATATTATGGTCACCTGAGAGATCAGATATATTCAGAGCCACATCATATTTCCTATGGCTAGTCATAGCTAGCTACTTGGCAAGTTTGTGTGGCTCATATCAAGTCTACATGTTTGTTATGCTTCAAATTATTGGCCTCACAGGTTTCATACTTGAGGTGTTACACATTCACAAGCAGTTGCTAGTGAAAGGTTTGTATCCCTGTATAAATTCTATACAATTTTCTGAGATCCTCCCTGCAATGCAGTAGAATATATTGATTATAAAGCTTGCCTTGTTATGCACTATCAGACCTGACGTGATTTTTAAATAGCTTTTCAATAAATTTCCTCTCAATTATATTTTTAAAGTTTTGTACAAATTTTTATAATTTCTTGCAGATCCTGAAACTTCTGTACTAGTTGCAATGCATAGGGTTATGACAAATGGAAACCAAGCAGCAGTTAGCACAAAGGAGGACGAAACTAAGACCGACAAAACTAAAGCATCAGATACTATTCCAGAAGAGCGTAGTGATAAAGATTCAACCCCTGATAAAGATTCAACTCCTGATAAAGAGAGTCCAGTGACTCCAGATGCAAATACGAAAAGAGGAAGCTGGACTGGAAACGAGTCTTCACAGAGTTCACCCAGACATGCAAAGATGTTATTTAAAACTAGAACATTATCTGATTTACCTCTATCTAATGTTAAAACTAAACCGGCAATTGAAAATCGAATCTTAGCATCATATAAACAAAGATCCCTTGATGAGAACTATATGCGAAACAATTTTAATAATGACGATGAATCAGCTATATATTTCAAGCTCCTATTTTTTGCTTGCTTCTGTATGTTGGTTTGGAAACATATTTGGCTGCTACCTGTGATGGTGTTCTTTTTGGCAATTCATTTTATTAAATGGTTGCTAAACTTTTTTGGAGTATGGTTGTTTTTTGAAAACTACTACAATAATGTGATGGCTAAAGTTAAAGGCTGGTGGGGAGACAGGTGATTCATGCTATTGTATATTACTATTATTATATGCTATATAAGAGATGACATGCCCAAAACCAATCAAAATTGACTAATGACAGATAGTCAATACATTTAGCATTTGTTCAAGGTTATTCCCATTGTCAAATATTACAACATTATGGGACAAGACGGGATAATGGTCCTTCTTAATGCTGAAAATCCACTGCTAAACATAGGCCTCACACATAGATTGCCTCATAGATTGGAAAGTGTAATTTTTATTATTATTATTGAGTTTTTATCAGAAATATGACTTTGGCAGTGCTACATTTTAATAGGTTGCGCTTTAGCTGTATGGTTATGTTTACGAAGTAGAGCCATGCTGCGGCTATATTATCCTATAGCAGCTGGCTGTAGCACGAATGGTTCGGCTCGACTGGGGAAGGACCACACTCTCACAGAATATCACCGTAAAATAGCAGCTTAATGCTGCTGTGTTTCGTATGGTGCTGTAGAGAACCGGAGACCCTTTTACTGGAAACGAGGCATTCAATCTCAGTCCTCAGGTGGTGACAACGTATCTGCATTTTATTTTTTAATTGACGATAAATGTAGATTGCTAGGGGTCGCAGCATCCACTTACTATCAGGTGGACTGTGTGCTCGTTACGTCCTGTGGGTACCGTAAAAGGCGAGTAAAGGTAATGCCTGGTTTCCTTACGATTGATGGCCAAATACCCGCTTCGCTTACACCAGTAGTAAAATACCAAGACCGGCGACGCGAAACAGCGGCAGAGGTGTCAATGAGGACTAATAATCTTATGCTCACCAGATGTCGCTATTTGCGACTGAGGTGATTTTATTTATTACAGAAATGGTCACACAGTACCATCATGGAAAAGTTGCGTTTTAAATAACAGTTTTTCGGTTTCTAGTGTATGTATATATACAAAACAACACTTTAGTGCTGAGTTCTTTAATTTTTTACACATTTTTAACTTTTTATTTTTTTACTTTTAGTGATATTCGTAGTTTAGACTTTAGAATATCCGTTTCTAATCTAATTAACATAAAATGTAACCAATATTTCAGAAATAAACATTAATCTCTCATTAAATTAATTAAACTTTTATAACAAATTACCTGCCCCCGCCATGAAATCTGTTTAAGCTGCTATTTTACGCTGGTATTCTGTGAGAGCCAGTTGCCAGTAAAACGGGTCTCCGGTTCTCTACACTCACCATACGAAACACAGCAGCGTTGAGCTGCTATTTTACGCTGGTATTCTGTGAGAGCGTGGTCCTTCCCCGGTCGAGCCAACCCATTCGTGCTACAACTATACTACTAATATAACTGCAGCATGGCTTTACCACGTATATACGACCTACCATCAGGTGTACTATAAGTTAGTATATGTTTATGAGCTGATGAAAAGAAGGAGGAGGCATTTGCATAAACTGTTTCATTTTAAAAAGTAAGACTTACAAAGAGCATAGGGTTCATGTGATAATAAGTGAATGCTATGGCTCATAGTCACCTATGTTTAATATCTATTAAGAATTAAAATGCAGTTGATTTTTTGCCACTGTGGACTGAGATGGAATGTTACTAATAAAAATAGTAATTTTATATAATATATTATATAATGGTATTATATACTTATGCTGATTTATCGGACCTTTTGTATGCGTGTCCGTGTATCCCGTCAATGACAAACAAAATTATAGGATCTAGGATCTAGATATTAATGTTACATTATCATTGTAACATTACCTCTGTATTATTTACGTCCTCGATCTGCTCATATATTTTGCAGGAAATCAGCATTAGTTCCGGCGCATATTCGTGGCGTCTCCAAAATGCTGTCTATCTGTAACAGCAGTGTTACTGAAATGGCGTATGACTCGGTCGATACTGTATCTTCTTGCATTGTGATCATTGGCCTCATATTTTTTGTCACTGTTGCCGTTGTCTTCGTCTGCATACAGGTTTGTTGATAGTATGTTATAAGATTTTTGATTTATAGGATTCTCACGCTTTTGTGCTCTAATTTAATGACTCGTCTGTTAGAAATTTAAAAAAAAAAAAAACATTTTAGACACCCTATGTAGTTGCTTACATGAATTTGAAAAAAAAACCAAGTTTTAGTACAAAAACCTTGAGACTTTGTACTATTAATTGTTTTGGGGTGTTTTCATTCACCGCCAATTACGGGGTAAATCAGCAAAATCCCTCGCTGTATATCACATTATGCGAGCAACCCGATTTCAAACACTGCCAGCACCAATAAAAATTCTAATTGCAATTTTAAGTGGTGATCAAGATATTAATAGTTACTAAACCTTGCTAAAAATCGAAGTGAAATTTCTAAACTATGTCAATAAAATATAGCAGAAAACAATATTTTTTTCCCCAGATATATTCCGAAGCCATTGTAGTAATCCAACTAAGTGGCAGCCTTTTGAATAGTACATTTGTTCAACATAGTCCTCTGCAAACATACTTACCCGAAGGATGGGAGGAGAAACTCGATTCACTCATTGATGATGCCTACACATATGGGAGAGAAGGAATATCTACTGCTGTAAGTGTTATAATCATATATCCATCCACCTTGACCGAAATATGGTCTGTAGAACATATTTATTATTAAACAAACTTATGCACAAAAATTTGGGATCTATGTCCATTTATACATGGCAGATAGTTCTATGCACTAGAAGAAAATCAAAATATTTGTTTCAAATTATGAATTATTTCTTTCGATACTTCCATAGCTAAACTGCCATTTATCATTGTACATGAAAATTCAGAAACAAATTAGTTTAAAATTATAAATGAGTAAAATTTTATTGCAAGATTGATTAGAACAACATATCCTATTCAAAATTGAATGAAGCATTCAATGAATTACTTCAATAGATTATTTTAGATTCACATATCTTTACGGCCCCTCCCTACATGTCTTTAATAATGATAGATTAGTTTATACATTTATTAGAAATAGCATGTTATTTTATATTCTTGATTTCTATTCCTTTTAATCTATGCTTACAAATGGATGCGACACGTCTAGATTAGAAAATACGTAAGTTTGTACGCATGGTTAGCTCTTTCGCTTATGCACTTTGTGCACATGATAGTGTAATGGTTTCAAATATTTTGATTTCATTAATCAATATCAGATATAATAATAATGACAATGGCGAACCGACTGCCAACAGAAAGGTTAGTTTTGACAGTTTTAGTAATATTTTCTAGCTATTACAAAAAAGTGATAAATATGAATAAATGCCTGTTTGAAATTAAATAGTTTTGAATATTGGCCGGCTAGATTGATAATTTATGGGAGAATATGCCAACTTCTCTCTTATCGCCAACTACACTGGCACACGGTGTATCCTGATGATTTACAGACAAACCCAAAAAACGACTGATAGTGGAAAATTCATCCAAAAACACTTGAACACTAATTTCACAGGCGAGTAATAGAAACATACAATTAAAATTCAGGTTTCAGATCTGCGGTCATCTACCTAGGCGGGTAGATGACCCCGGCGTAGTAGGAGTACTGCCAAATCTTTATCTAACAGGAAAAAAAATTATAAACCCTCAAGTATCCAATTAAAATAACTCCTATTTTATCACGTAATAATCGCAGTAATATAAATTGTAATAAGGATTGCTGAAATGCGTGGATACAGTTAGATAGCACGTCTACGAAAACTTCTTAGCAACTATTCTTATGACCGTTCCGTTCCATTTCAGCCTATTAAAGTCCACTGCTGAACATAGACCTCCCCCATAGATTGCCTCATAAGGGAGACATTTGCCATAGTTGCCACGCTTGACAAGTGGGTCTGTAGTCGTTATTAGGAAGACTGACTGCTGCCCTTCTCCTGATTTATTAGCCTCTGTCGGTTCTTATGACGAAAGCTATTAATTCTCCGTCGCTAATTCTGAGGGCGTTCAATTTAGAAATAGAAAGAGTGCAAGATGATAATTGCGACTTCTTTATTTCTCTTTATCCATAGAAGTATGTCATTTAGCGCCTTCTTGAAAATGACTATAGCCAGCAGAGTATTCCAAAGGCTGCTAAAGAAAATGCAATACAAAGAGTAAATAAACAAAACCAGAGTGCAGCTATCGAGTGGTATAAGTCACTATTTTAGTATACGTAATACCACCATAAATACCTCAATCAATACCCGTATTTCGTCACGTGGGTGTCGTAAAAGGAAATGCCAGATCGACTTTTTTATAGGAGAGTGGTAAACGAGCACGCGGCTCACGTAATGGCAAGTGCACAACTGCAACACCAGGAAAATTGCTTTAGGTAAGCTTAAGCTCGTTTCTTGAAGGTCTTTGAAGGTCGTGTCGGTCCAGATAATCACTGGTGGTAATCGATTCCACAAAGCAATTGTGCGAGGAAGAACTCCTAATAAATCACACAATGATGGACCGCCAAGCATCCAGATGGTGTTTATGGTATCGTAAATTTCGGAGCGATGTGCATTGATAAAATTTGTCAGCTAGAATTAATCCCAACAATTCCTTTGAGCACTCCCCGTTGTAAATGCGATAGAAAATGCAAACGATGAAAAAAATTCTACACAGCGCCAGTGAATCGAGCCGATCAGAAAGAAATCGGTCGTTGACGATTCAAGCCGCTCTTCGCTTTTCGCTTCGATGTGGTCAAGTGAAACGAGCTTATACTGGAGTGTCCCGACCCAGAGATGAGAAAAGTATTCCATGTGAGGCCGAAACTAGGCCTTGTAAAGTTGCAAACTGTGTTCCGCTCTGCTGAGCAACGCCAAGTTTTGTAGAGGACTATTTAACCTTGTCTTCCATGTGACCACGAAACTGTACGTCATTCGATATGCCCACGCCGGGGACACCGATGCTGATTGCGGCAGCAAGGGGAGTGCCCTGAAATTAAGGAGATACGGTAAAGGGGTTCTTTTTAGCGGTTAACCGTCTCGCTTTCACCATATGTAAAATACCCATACCTGCGACGGACAACAGTATCAAAAGTGGGAGACATCTAGTACTTGAAAAATCAACGGCAAATTTAACGGGAAAGGTCCAAGTCCATAGGTTAGGTACTATGAAAATGAGTCTCTGACATCACAAAATGTTTCAGATTTTTCGACTCTTGAACGTCGAAGATAAGGTTGGAGGACTGTGTTCTATTGATACCTTTGCTCACCCAGTGTGTGGATGGTACTGCAATACGAAATGTGAAACAAAAGAAACTATTTTGAGATAACTTTTTTCCAAAACCTTTATGAAAAATAAAAGTTTTCGACTTAGGGAGGTGGACGCGTCATCAAAATCGTTTCTTCACACCTTGAAAGACGTCGATGCTAAGACATAGTGTGTAGAACAGAATTCCCGACTTCGAAACGTGAAATTATTTTACACTTTTAAATTTTTTGAAGTCGGCCTTTACTTTTAACTAAGAGTTTTTTTTTGGAGCTTTCGTTCAAGATGTGAGGTCCCATGCTCGAAGTCTTGTATTTTTCGTTAGGTTTGATATTCGAACAACATAACATCAATGTCGTTTCTTTATCACTTTTAGTAAAGCAAATACCTTTGTTATCCTTTACCAACTGAACTAATATATTGATTAGCTTAACTACTGGAGTCTCTAGATACAAAAATATTACTAATCCAAAGACTAAAGAGAGTCAATTTTCAAGGAAATAGGACCAAATTTGGTTAAATTTTATTGGAAATGAGTAAATCTCGTGCAGGTAAATAATTTTAACAGTGTTTTCGTAATTAATCTGTAGCTCAAGGCTTTAATAACTTAAAAGGATTTGCACTAACTGTCATTCGTGAAAGATGAATCACGGCACTCAATGAATTAAAATCATTTTGTCATTGTAAATATCAATGGCTAAGTACTCAAACGCTATAAATCTCGTGGTCTCACAGTCACTTTGATTTAAAGTGATAGAGGCAGCACGAGACTTCTTGCACGAGGCATCTTAAAATTGACCAGCGTTTGAGTATTTGGGCAAAATCCTTCAATTTAAATCACGTTTCTAATCCAATTTAAAAAAAAAAATTACATTTAATTTATATGAGTAAAATGTAAGCAAGTTAGATAATGTCATCATAATCAATACATCCTTTTATAAATCCACAGGCTGTTTTTCAGCCTACCCTAAGAAATGCCATAAAATTGGGGTTGCCACTTGTTATTGCAAATATCTTATTTTCGGCGCTATTACTTGTAAAAATATAGAAGATGGCGAAATAAAACATATAGTCTTTATGTTTCAAATTAAAGTCCTGGTAAAAGATGCAAGTAGTCTATGCATGTCATGCAGGGCCCATGTTTTATGGCATTCCTTGAGGGAGGCCTATGTTTATCAGTGGACTTATGCTTTTGCTGCTTTAAGCTTTTAAAGCCTTACGGTATATTAAAATATAATAGTTTCACTTACTATATTTTTTAAATGTAGTATTCGGACCCCATGTAGTGTAGGACACTATATTATATGGTAGGCTTGTAAACCCTACACAAAACACGGTCCTGAGCCACTTGCATACATCGAATTCCTGCTTGTTATACCGCTGGTCGCTAATTCGACTTCAATACAGTTGGGCAGTTGTTTTAGTATTTCGTGCACAACAAAGTAGAAAATATAGGTAATATGGATTTTTTCTCAGAGACCATTTCACGTTGATTACTGAAAGAACAAGAGCAGAAAAATAGTTGACAAAAATTATTGCGTCTACCAACAAAACCCACAAACACAAAATATTTTTATATTAAGTTATTATTAGTAATAACTATACTATCAGTAATAATAAAAATAAAAGTGATAAGGTTGAAAATAAGTCTCTTACAAAGGACTGCCTACAATAATACAATATCTCAATCATAGTACTGTGTAACAATACCATTTAATGTTATGGCAACACAAGCTAAAACGATATGTCATTGGTTTTTTTTACTGGCTTTACGGCTCTGGGTTCTAGCCCTTCTAAGAATGTCACTGTATGACACAAAGTCCCTGGAGCCATGCCAGAAATATACATTTATAGTATGCAAATATATAATAGAGATACAATAATCTAAAAACTCTCAATTATGTAGGTAGGTACATTATGTTGAGAATGTATTAAGCTAACATCAAACAACCACAGGATGCATGACTGTTTCCAAGTGACATAAGACATAACCTAAAAAGGTTCAAATCTAAATATATTTTTTTTTCGTCTTCTCAGGACAAAATCCTTTGACAAAGTTATTCAGGGACTGATGCTTAACATTTTAAGATATTTTTGATATATAGATGCTACCATTCCTTCTCAACTAATTTTATGTATGAAAGTCTCCCATTATTCTTTGGCATAGTTATAAAATGCGGTGTCATACACGTATTTGACATTTCATAAAGTCAAGTTTTTGACTTAATACACAAATTTTAGTTTTAAAAGGTAGCAAACAAAGAAAAAAAATAGTTAATTAGTTAAATTAGACAACGCAACTGCATTTTGATTCTTAATCGAGGATAAATATAGATGTCTATGAGCTACAGCATCCACTTACCGTCATGTGGACTGAGT